TTGTGATTAAATAGGTGTTTTAGAGTTATTATTCATTATTCAGAATTAAAAGAAAACATAAAAATCCGACCGACCAAACGGCTTTTTGAGCAAAACGAAAAATTAACTGTGTGACCTAATAGCTTTACTTCTCGAACTACCATATAAGGTGCCTCGGCCCCTACTTCAAAACGAATTCGATTTATCACGAGGTCGAAGTACTGCTATTTATTTAACTAATGGCACAGTAAACTTTACAAGGTATGATTCACGTGCTTTGAATGCTTCCATAGAAGTTAAATAAGTCAGATCATGAGGAATCAGATTTAACATATGAATGTAGCCACTTTTGCGCTTGTTAGCTGAAATAGTAAAAGGGTATGAGCTGGTTTAGTTTGTAAAGCAAATAGCCAACAGCTTATTTTGTTTGTTCGTTCTGAACTTATAGGGAGAAGAAAATTCGACAGAATAACTATCCAGGGCCGAATGAACATTTTTATGTTAGTAAAATCATATCGATCTGTAATTTTATATTTGACATGTTTTTGTTATAAGCAGGCAGGTTTTTAAGAAATATATCAGAATAAATTTACAGCGTAAATAATTGGTTGACGAATCGAATATACATTTTTATTGTGCATTTGAATTTATATTCGAATTACTAATAGATTATTATTACATTTCTTATGCTAACAATTAACAACTATATTACAATCATATTCGAATCATCGAAACGTGCCTAAATCATAGGTTCTTAAAAGTGCATAATTATTTTGGGCCCTTATCTGTAATAATTTTCAAATATTGGGCCTCTATTTGTAATTATTTTCATTTTGTTATCTATAATTATTTTCATTTTGTTATCTGTAATTATTTTTGTTTTTGGGCCCTTATTTGTAAATTCACCAATTTTTATCTATATCATTCTTTTTATATCAACACCAAGCTAACGCTAATCCCAACCTTAATTTTTATTAAACCGATTAAACCGTCAAAATTACGTGGGTACATGACTTTAGCCATCCCCTATATTTGGAAATCTGTAAAATCGAAAAATCGCCTAATTTCCCGCGATTTTATATGACATCATGATCTACAGGGTCACACTTTTTGCAAAGCGCAATAAATTTGATAAATGGGTTTCCAAAGATGGTATCCTCATGGAGTTTAAAATTTTAAAACAAAATGATCAGTATACCTATAGCTTATAAACTTAATGAAATTATACGTTCATACCGCCCTTTGTTTGATTTTTTATTTATTCATAATCTCGCCATTTTTTTTGACGTTCTGAAATAAACTTTGAAATAAAAAAATTACCAACAAAAATGTCTGACGGAATATTAATAAAAAGGTCTGATATTGAAATACTTGAAAAGATCGGAACAGGTGCTATGGGAGAGATACATAGGGCTAAATTTCGGGATGGAGAAGCAGCAGTAAAACAAAGCAAGGTGTAGTATTGTATTCATTTCTATTATTTGATATATGATAGTGTAATTTTTTTCTTTCCTTTATTTTTATTTAATTAAAAGTGAATGTTTTAAAATTTCTAATATACATTTTATATAATCTTTATAATCTTTATGGTATAAAAATCGATAGTATCAAAATAATAAACAACAATTAAGAACAGAATTTGAAATTTATTTCAGCTTACAAAATCACGACAATATTCTTAAATTGTTTGGAGTTATAGATGAAAATTATCAACTTGTTCTTGAATATGCACCAAATGGTGATCTGTCTCAATATCTTAAAGTAAATAAAGTCGATTGGGTATCCAAAGCTAAAATCTGTCACGGGATAGCTCGTGGTGTGATGCATTGCCATAAAAATGATGTATATCATTTCGATCTTAAACCCGAAAATATTCTTTTAGATAAAGATTTTATACCAAAATTGGCTGACTTTGGACTTTCAAATTCTAAGAGTCGTTTTGAACTGAGTGGTGGAAAAGCTGGTGGAACTTTAAATTGGATAGCTCCTGAACGTATTAGTTCTGATGCTAAAATGTGTGAATTTTTTGAAAAGTATATATAAATATTTTTTTTTACATATCTTTTTTTCTGAGTTAACATTAATTACCTATTGATATACTTAATGAGACTAAATGTTTTTAATAGACACCCCAAGCTTTCAGATGTATATTCTTTTGGATTGATTTTATGGTCAGGTAAAGTCAATGAAACTCATTGTATTTTGTTTATATAAATATTCCTAATATATTTCTCTTTAGTCGCTATGGATGGCGAGATGCCTTATAAAGAATTAAATGATGATAAAATAAAAAAACAAAAGTGTGACAAAAAAACAATGAATCGTCTGTTGAAACGTTTGCCAAAAGGAATTCCAAATCGCTATACACAACTAATTTCCGATTTAACAAAGTACGACCCTGAAGAACGTTGTCAACTACCTTCTGCATTATTAGAGCTGGAGCATGTATTCAAATACTATAGTAAGTTTTCCTATACTTTAAAATAGTTATGTTAATAGTTAAATTCTTTAATGAATGACCTTATGTAATTAGATGCTATTGAAGACAATGACAAGGCCAAATTACAGGTTATGAATTACAGCTCAAGTACAATTAGTCAATCTTCTGGAAATGCTAATTTTTCGCACGAATCGAAATATGAACATATTGAAGATTTTCCGTCAATACCGATATATTATTCTACTGAACAACTTTCAACTATCATCACTGAAAATCATATGAAAGAAATTTTATCATGGATTAATGAAGTACCACATGTCGCCAACAAAGTAGTAAGCCAGTTTAAATTACTTATTCGTGGTAGTAGAGATGGGTTTGAGTGCGAAACATTTCATAAATTATGTGATGAAGTACCTCAAATTGTAATTATTTTAAAAGTAAGTGAAACGGACGAGATATTAGGTGGTTATAATCCACTTTCATGGAATAGAAATCATAAGTCAGGTTTTCTTCAAACGAAGTATAGCTTTATATTTTCATTAAGCATTGACAATTCTAAACCATCTATTTTGAGTCGTATTAAAAAATACAAAAAAGCAATAGTTAATGCGAAGGATTATGGCCCAAGTTTTGGTGGAACGGACTTATTGTTGAAATTGTATGGTTCGAGTCTAAAAGGTGATGGTAATTGTTCCTGTGAAATTTTTTCATATGAAAAACCAATCAGAACTGCTAAAGAATTTTCGATGTACGATTATGAAGCATTTCAAATTAGTTAAATTATATTTTTAGAAAACTGTATTAAGATTAAGTTTTATTTAATAAATTTAATTATTTCTTTTTTACTTTCTTGAAACTTAAATATCGGGTCTAAATTTTGTAAAGATGTTTGTCGTATTTCTGAAGTCTGTGACTAATAGTGCAGCTGTATTGAGATAAATAAGTCTTGTCCACGTCAATTCCTAATAAACAATAAAGTGTATATACTTATCTGAATTGTTCCTTGTGTCTTGTTTCTTGAATTCGACTGGTAACTTTAATAAACCCTTTCGAGACTGAATTCGACGGATTGAATTAACTTGTAACTTCGATTTAGCTTATTAAGACTCGGATTCTAGAACGTGTGGAATCAAATATTGCCATTCACATTAGTGACTTGTGGGAGTTGTGGTAGAGAATTCGACTCCGTTAATCCATCACGTGCTCTTAAAATATCATTAAGATCACCATTTTATCATTACCCTTAACAGCATTACCCGTGCATCGCTCCATCATCATCCCCTATTGATAAAGTATTCGTTATAGTGTCCTATTGTCCATTTAGTCCTTTAACAATCATAAAGACCCACTTCACTTCTCCAAGTTTATATTTATTTCTCCGTACACCGTTGGAGTTAAATTGGCCTTTATCTTATAATATTTTCTTAAGCTCTTCCATCAACGGCTACAGTAGTAGCATCACCCCATTATCACCCCTATTAATATTAAAGCCTTCGTTTCATAGTGTCATATTGTCTCAATAGACCTCTGACAGTTGTAAAAGACTCCTTTCGTTTCTCCAAGTATATCTTTATCTCCCCGTACACCATTAGAGTTAAATTG